CCTTTTATTTGTTTTGGTTGAAAAATCAGAGTACGGTACATAAACTGGGACTTGAGATGCAAGAGTTGCTGTTATTTGTTTGGTTTAGACTGCCCTTTGTTTTGAAAAGTCCGGTAGGTGGCGACACCTCCATCCTCTGTTTCTAGAGGATAAAATCTATCCTCCAAAAACAGAGGCCGCCTAGACCTGTTTAATACACAGTGAAATACTCAGATGTCAAACTTTACCTGTGTTGGGGATTTTGAGACAATTTTAAAATTAGTAGTAAAAAGGTTTTTCAATTAAATATTGATTTATTTTTAACTGTTTGAAAATACCCCGTCCCATTTAAAAAAATTATTATCAATATGATATACTATAAATTCATTAATTCAAATATTAATTCAAACAAAGATTAGTATAGATGGGAACTCTTGTAACGACCAAATAAGACTTAATTCATTAATTCATCCCCATGATACTACCTATTAATTAAATGAAAAGGGAGCTGTGTTTACTACTTTTCACTAAAAATAATCTACATGTAGGTTTATCCTAACCTTAAGGCTTTGTCACCATGAAACATGCTAAAAAAGATTGCTTGTAAATTGTTACCTGAATTAAAAAAAGGAAAATATAAGTGACCCATGATTAGAAACATTATTTTTTAATTTAATTTCTTCACACAGTATTGCTCTGAACTTTATAGCAATAATAGTACCATTTAGCATATTGAAATTGATATCGAAATTTCATTTGAAAAAAAAAATGTTTTATGCACCAAAGGTTATAATTTTTTTTAAAAAAAATGCATATATTATAATATTTGCATGTTATGTTATAATCCTTTCAAAAACTATATTTATATATTTAATTCATATATTATCAATCTAAAAAATTTCATAGTAATACAGTTTCTGTATACCATTATCAGTAAACATCAAAGGATCAAAGTTAATTAGAAGGTCATCACGAGTCCCAAACAAGGTGTACACGGTATACACAGGGACCAGCAAGAAAATGTCAATCAAGTTTCAGCACCCAATGATTGACCTTCATGCACTTGATTGACAGGGCTACCCCGACCAGGTATTTTTGAAGACGGTGCTTAATATCTCTGCCTTTAAGTAGACTTCAGTTTATGATATTATGATAATCAACACTTTTTGAGAAAAAACTTCTCGGCCAAAACTATTTTTTAAAATTTATTTGGGGGATTCAAACCCTTGGAATGTCTTTGAGGCCTAAGGAATCATAGTGACCTCTGTTTTTGCCAACTTTCTTCGAAGATCCAAGATGCATTTAGACCAAACTAGAGGTACTGTGAGCGATGAGCTCACTAAATGATACCCCCGCCTCCATATAGTTATAATGGCAAAGTCCATGTTTTGCTGGGGCCAGAAAACCCAAAATATGTGTCGGATCAAAAAGTAATATAGGAGGTGCACAATGGCAATATGTAATAAAGATTATGTGAAAGTTTCATCAAATTTCATTCAGCGGTATAAGAGGAGTTGCGGATAAGAGATGGGTACCCAAAAGCGTAACAGACGGACGGACGGACGGAATTAACGATTACTATATACCCTCCCGCTTTTCAAGCGGGGGGTATAAAAATTACTGAAATATTTATATACAGCCATAAAATTTCATTATCTGGTCACCGAGACCTACTTTTTGGTTGAAGTTCTCCAGAGTCCCATAATGCATCAATTGACGGTTTCTATGCCTATATGTACCCAAGATATTTAAATATAGCCATAAAATTTCATTAGTAGGTCACTGTGACCTACTTTTTGATTGACATTCTCCAAAGATCCAAGATGCATCAGAGAAAATTTTAATATCATTAAAAGTAATCAATGATTATTTCCCCATCATGTTCTTACACTATCAGCATAATTCAATTTAAAAATCCATATGTGTGCTTTAGTTAAATAAAAAGATATTTCAAAACTAGAAGTCGTTTTCAAGAAAATAAAATAAACACTTCAGTACTATATATACAACTTTTATTTTATAAAAAAAAATTCGTTGTCATGTCTACAAATTTTGGCCAACTGAATTTAAGAAATTTCAGGAATTTCACTAACAAAATTAAATTATCATGAATGTTGCACAACCACAAATTAATTAAGTCATTAATATATGTAGGCCTTTCAACTAATTTTTCAAGTTGCACATATGGTAAAAACATTGTATAGATATATTTATAGGTACATGAAATTATCAAAAAAAAAAAAATAACTAATGCATACTTTTAATTACATCATTAAAAGGTTTAATCATTTATAAGTGACTTTTCCTATGTTGTATTTAAGCACAGGTAACTCAGGTGTGAAAAATGACCAACTTAGTGCCTATTTATGAGTTATCGTTTATATGAATGACGTATAGGCTGCTTCAGCATTGGTATTGTTATATACACAAAAGGGTTTCTTACATTGTTTTGTACACAAAAGTTTTGACCAAGAGAAAGAGAATGCCTTCACTCTACCTGAAATAACAGGGTCAAATGAATGGTGAACAGACTATATTCAATAGTTTTAACTCTCTTTGACGATTATTTTGAAGAAGAAAATTTAATGTAATGTTTTTTGTGTTCGCGCTTTTTCGCTTCCTGTGTAAATATATTTATTTTCACAAGTAAATGCAACAATTGATCATCTTATTTGTGTTACTAAGCACGAAGGGGAACGACCGAGTATAAAAATTTAAATAGGTTAGAACTGAGAAGGAGGGTAGATTTCACTTTTATTTTAATCAAAAATTTTAATTATATGCAGTAAACCGGTGTCCGCAACTATACAGTAAATAAGTTTAACATTGGTGCTTAATTTTAAAACCACTGAATTCTACTGAGAGCAAAGAAAGACTTGGGAAATGCTAAAAACTGCCTTGCGTGAAAACAGTTAGATACCCGGAGCCTGCTCTAAACATGTTTCAGCAGTGAGTTATCTTTCATAACACCGACCCCTAGCGGCAGTTGAAAGGCCTAATATATGTGACCAAATAAAAAAGTTATTCAAAATCCTTGTGGAATTATAAAATATGATAAAAACATGTTGTGTATTATAATTAGCACATGATTTTACATGTTTTATAAAAACATTCTTTAATCCAATAGACACTCACAGTATTATACTCTCAATAGCTTAAATTTAACTTACACATGAGAAAAAAAGGGTATATGAAGTAAAGGAAAAATCATCTTTTTTTCAAACTTATCTATTTTCTACAAATATGCCATATAAATAAGATTTTTTTAAAAAAAAAGAAAACCAAATTAAGTAGCAAGCAATTATCATTTTGAAGAGAAGAAAAAAAGAAAAAAATATATGACAGATTGATAAGAAGAGCAGAACAACCTTGAGCATTGTTGAGAAAAAATAATAAATAATATCACAACATCTACAAAATAAAATTGTATAAGAAAAAGCTAAAAGGTTCATTAAAAGATCAAAAGGTTTTTGGATTTCTCGACAAAGAAACAATATATGCTATCAAATTTCATGATAATAAGCACTTCAACGATTAATAAAAAAATTTTCTTTAAAAATTAATTATAAAAATTGTATATATATTACATGATAATATAGAAATAAAATACTATCTTTGGAATGAAGGAAACATTTTGTGTGTGTTATCTAATCAAAATTCGCCTGTATACTGTAACAGTATAACAGTTGAATTCATGAAGCATAAAAGTAGATTACATAATACTGTAAAAGTGGAAATTTTGACGATTTGCTAATTTTGACCATATTGACGATTTTTATTTTCTCATCGAAATTTACACTCTTCAAATTCCACATCATATATACACAACAAACATTGACTATCGTACAACATTACCTCTTAATTTTCTCGGGTTTCCCCAATTAAAACTAGATAAAAGTATCTGTTAATATCTTTTGTAATTAGTTATGAAAACACGGTGATATATAATCACAATTTTTAAAACCATTAAATCCAAACAAGTGCATTAAATATTGCAGCGTAACTTAGCGTAATTATCGCCCTGTGCTTGAGCTAGTTTGTCACCTTAGGCAGTTGACCTCTTATAATGAAAACAAATAACAAGAGGGCAATTTATTTAATCAAATCTTACAATCTTACACACTGTAGATGGTTTGTACAAAAATTAAATTTTAGTGGAACCGACACTGCTTTTGTATCCCCTTTTGTATCAAAGATACATAACTCTTTATTAAATATTTCGTCAAAATTAACACTTGTCAATTTTCGTAAACAAAAAATCGTCAATTTTTCAACTCGTCAATTTAACCACGTTTACAGTATTTCAAATAAAATGCCAGTTTTTCACAACTGAAAAAAACCTTTTCTTCATTACAAACCCTACCAACTTTAAATAACAAAAGAATGTAACAGAGGAAGTAATATAATGCCTCTTTCAAAGAATTATCAACTTTATCAAGAGGTATCAAGCAAAATATTGCACTACAGGTTGCATAGAAATATATCTATAAGACATAAATTCATAACAACAACCTAACATTATGTATATGTACCTTGTTTCTCTAGCCTGAGCAATTAATATAGATTGTCATATTTTTTGAAACAATATATACTTTTATTGCACGTCTTTTATTTATAGGCAAGTAGAGTGGTGATTTATCCTATCTACATGTAAATAGCAACTATATTTCTACTTTATTCCCCTACTCTATAATATCTCATCATTTGTGCAATTAATTCAAAACAATGAACTAGACAAATGGTAAGAAGTCACGTCCATGCAAAGATTTTTGGAATGTTAAGATAATAAAATATGATACATTTCTTCTCAGCACTTTGATAAGTTTATGAAGTTAATGAACACTAAAGCTTATATATTCAAATCATATGGCACTAAAATGGTTGAGCTTTAAACTGTGTTAAAAAAGGGTCATAAACCCTCTGCTCACTCATATAAAATGGACAATACAACTTTTTTTTCTAACATTATTACTATAAGAATATATTTTACTGCATTACAAAGCATTAAGGCCAGTTAGGGTGGGTTGATGTGCGTGCAGTGGACCCAGGTATCCTCTCAGAATGCTGGTCACACATGAAAAAAAATCTCCTTAGCCATCCTATCCAGCAGCAGGAGAAGAGGCAGCAGCATCAGAACACTGCTATACCTACATAAATATAACAGATGAGAAAAATCGCTCAGAAACACATTAAAGAAAATAAAAAATATCATACCTCAATTTATGATAATAAATCTCAAATCTATAAAATGTGTAGTGTGCCTTAATATCTAGCTTTGCCCCCATATTGAAAATTCTGAATACATAGTTTTTGCCATGTCTCTCTGACTGTCTGTTTGTCTAATAAAACTTAACTCTGCCCAAAAAGATTTGAGTGGGTTTTGCTATAGCTTTCCAATTTCATAGATGAAGTCCTTATGACAAGAGCTTTCTTTGCGTACAACTATATTTGATTACCTGACCTTGATCTTGGAGTTTGACCCACACTTACAAAAAAATTCTGAACTTTAACCTTGTTCTAGAACAGTTGGTTCTATATTAGGGTTTTCATACTTCACACATGTAGTCACTGTGACAAGACCTTTCAATGGGTATAAAAATATTTGACCTTTTGACCTTGATTTTAGAGATTGATGTACTTTGTAAAAAATCTTTCATCTTGGCCGTAATTTTTGAACTGTTGAACCAGGGCTTTCATATTTCATACATGTATGAATGGTATATTCCTTGAACCCTTTTGACCTTGACCTTGGAATCTGACTTGCATTTGAGAATCTTCCTCCCAAGACATAAGCTGCCATATGGGGGCATCAGTGTTTCACCAACACGTATTGTATATTATATTACTACTGTCTATTAAGGATATATTCATTTGTATAAGCTAAATTTAAAATTTGAATATTAAAATATGTTAAAAAGAAATCTGTGTAAGTTTTGATACATGAATAAAATGAACCAACTGGCAAAGCAGACTTGAGATATGTCTGGAAATACCCTCTTATAACTTAATTGAGTCATTTCTTACAAAAGGGATGCATTTATGATCATACTTGCTGTCTAATATAGCAGATGCCTATTCAGTCTAAAATATCTTTCTTCTTGAAAAAGACTACCTATTCATCTCCATGTTAATTAATATCTTGCAGCAATGCATACATTTGTAACAAAGATATCTGAACTCAACCCTAAGTGTATAGTTATGTTGATCAGCTTAGATTTAGAAAAGTATTCACTATCTATCAGATTAAGAGGCCTTCTCAGGATTTATAGTACCCAGTATTTTAAAATAGCTGTGCTATCTTTCCCTTATCCTCAAAATGTCAGAGGTCTTGATCATGAGTCAACACACTTTGTAAAGAAGGTTTTCAAAAAGTAGCAGCTACGGTAACATACCATTCATTATAAAGTTTGTAGTTCATGTGCAAGATATGCAGCCACTATGATCTTGAATTAATGCAAGCCAGTACTTTAAACAGAAAATAATTAATAATAGTTTTGTTACACTGGAGAGATTCCTGAAGATCCATTTTCTGGTGTAGGCCATGTCTTTGTCACATTTTCAGTTGTAGAATTTCGAGGCCTCACTTTTAAACACTCCGGATCTATAAAAACATAACAATTGAAATTTTTAGACCTGTTTGACGGTAAAAGTCTGTCAGATTAGATTTTTGCCCTATACAGGAAACTCTCAATACCTCGAAGTCCACGGGACCAAGGGAAAACTTCAAGAGTTCACTTAGTTTTCAAGAGTGGGGAATTTTCTGGGTTTGTTTGGCAGGTTTTATAATTAGTCTTACAGGATGTACTGATTTTCATGCAGTGCTAACCTTTCACACATGGTTTTTATAAAACAGCGATATGATTTCATATTTTAGATGAATATTTTTTAAAATGAGTAAAGCTAAAAATGTACATCGTCATTTTATGTTTACTTTTTTATTCTTTATTAAATACAGACAACATACAAAGCTTTATTATATGAAAACAATATTTTATAGCGTCGCATGGTATATAGCAATTTGGCTTTTCCAAACACGTTCACTGAACAAAGTTCTGTAAGTATTTGTCAAAAAAAAGTCGTCACATTGACACTGAGGCTGTTTCTGAATTTCCATATTTATTTTCGTTAAACTTTGACACTGACTCGAAATAAAAAATTTACTAAGTGATTTGTCTTGTAATCTGCAAATTACAATTTCTCAGTCACTGTGTTTCTAAATTATTGTAATACACTACAGTCGATGATAATGATTATAATAGCATATAGGCATCATAAAATTAATTATAAATTAATTATCACCTTGCAGTATCCCGGGTCTTCTACCTGGGGTCATTAAATGTCCAGATAAGGTTGCTAATTATGTAACTTTGTATACACATAGCCACTTCGAGGTATCGAGGGTAAATTTCAATAGAATATGCATAGTGGGACTGCAATTTTGACTTCGAGGGATTAAGGGTTTCGAGAGATCAAGAGTAAATTTGCTTAGTTATAAAGGGGAAAAAATCAGGACCGGAGACTCACTTCGACCAACGACGAACTTCGAGAGATTGAGGTTCGAGCCATCAAGAGTTACCTGTATATTCCTCACCTAAAACTTTGATCATATATATTGTGGCCCATCCTGCCCCCAGGAATTATTATTTGAGCAGACTTGAATCTATGCTATTTAATTCTCATACATGTACCCCATGAATTAACATTTCCATGAATGATGACTTCGTCATTTTTTCTTTCTAAGAACATTGACCCCACAGAATTAAAATGATTCCATAGTAATACAGTCAAGGAACTTGTTTACATTATTTCAATTTCTTAAAAGCGTACTGTACATTTAAAACTAACATACAGCATGACATTTCTAAGAATTGAAGAATTCTGACTGACAGTGGTCTCTGGCACCATTCTATATGTTCCAGATAAGCTACAATAATATCTAAAAGTTTTTCAATTACAAATGACCATGGACAAAAATAGAAAGCAAATGAACATTGCTCAGAAAAAATAAATGCTTACATTTTTTATATTCGGCAAGTCCATGATGTGGGCAATTTGGACATTTATATTTGTCGGTGAAGCTTACACCAAAACCGCTTCCTGTCGTCACCCATATTGCACATTCATTGGCTAAAACAATTAAAACAAGTGTTTTACAATTTATGCAATTCATCAAAAGGCCCATAGGCCACATCACTGACCTGTGCACTTTGGCTAGGAAAAATCTGAAATCATTGCAGTATTTAGGTTTCCGTAAAGTGGTACAGGGAGGGTGATGATTTGAATTAATTTAAACTTCCTGGGGATTCTTCCATATAACTTTTTTATCAGTGTTTTTGTAAGATTATTAAAGCTTTTTTGTACATGCTTGATCTTCTATTAAGGTCTTGCTCATTAGCCCTACTCCCACTGTCATAATTTTAACAAACATAAATCTATACTACCTGAAGATGCAGCTTCTGACATACTGTATAAGTAGAATTTTTAGCGAGGATTTAATTTTGGCATTATTAGCGAGGGTGCTGACATTTAAAATTGCATGAATATCGCTAAAATTTAATTGCGTATTATTTGTAATAGCTTCTTTAGTTAGCATTTTAAAATGCTTAAATTACTTCTCGCTAAAAATAAAATACCAGATTTTAGGTAGAAATTGCTAAATTTGCGTCTCGCTAAAATTTCCACTTATACGGTATAAAGACTAATTATGACTTTGCTGTTCTTGGGTAGAATTTTTTAATTTAATTTTCCTTACTACATATATTCCTGTGTATAACTTCAGTAGTCCATTGTGGTCAACTCTACCATATCTGAGGATCATGATTTAAACAAAATTGTTTCTACACTACCTGAGGATGCTTCCATTCAAACAAGATGCCCATGTGCTACAACCTGAGTAACATTTACCCTGCTGTTCTTCACAAGATTTCTTCCTTGAAATACTTATTGTGGTCCCACACTACCACAGAGCAAAGTATTTGAATAATTTAGAATCTAAACTATCCCCAGAACACTTCCATATAAGTTTCAGATTTTCTGGCTCAGTGGTTCTTGCGTCAAAATGTACAGACTGTATTTCAATGATATGTACGAACATTTGCAGTGTTTTCTGTTATTTACCATTATTTGAGCAACACACATCTAGCTATCGATCACTGTAATAACACAGGTTTCTCATGTCACAAACACTCGACACAATTTTTCAATGACCTCATGAATGGATCAAAATGTGCCATTAATAAAGAATTTTGAAAAATAAAACATTTCAAAACATTAAAGATTATATAGTATACCAACAAGTATCAGGTAATGAAAAATTACAAGAGGCCCATGGGCCACATCGCTCACCTGAGCACTGTGGCTAGGAAAAAGTAGCAATTGGTTTGTTATTGAAGATTTTAAATCCAATAAAGTGCCCCGCCACAGCATGATACACCCGTCAAAAAAATACAATTTTCTTGAACAGTTTAGGTGCAAGAAAATCACATCAACCTTGATTCTAAGATTTCGATGATTTTTCCATTCCTTAAAATATTTATCCATCCCCTGTGATGTATGCATCAATTATAATAAATATTACATCACTGATAGATTTCTGTGCTGGTTGTGTTAGACCTTGTCAAATGCCCATAATCAAATTAGTCTTAACAACTTAATCTACACCAAATTAATTTTGAAAAGAAAAAGCTGGCCATCAAATGACATAAAAATATGTTATAAACTGACCAGCAGTTCTTCTGTCTAATCCCCAAAGGGTACAGATAAGACTGCTTTAATCAGAGTGACTTAGACACTGCTAGCCTTCCTACATTGAACTCATTAATTAATCTTTAACTGGATGCTTGTCTACTCATTACTACCAAGAGATGAATGGGTCTGCACTATCTACTATAATTTTTTTTTTTTAAACATATAAAATACTCAATGATTTTTTTTTTGGTTGAGATTTAATGTCCGACAGGTTTTAATATGTAATTCATATGGACATGCTGATTTCACCCCACCCCATAAAATAAGTTTTTAAATTAATAATATTACATAATACATTGTATCAGATTAGTCTATTATGCAGTATCAAATTTGTTTTAATTACTTTTCATCAAATTCATCTTAAAACTTAAGCTAGTCAGCAAGAGCTATTTTTAATCAAACAGGCTTACCCATTTGCCCAATACTCAAGGGATATAGATAACACCAATGCTCTGTCAGTTAGCTCCTCGCACTCAAAACCCATTAATTTCTCTCTAATTTGACATGCAATTTTCTGTTATCAAAATTCTTCTTGACCAGTGCTTGATAATTACACTCATGGGAGAGGTAGGATTTCTCTAACATACATTATATTTGTTAAAGATGGCTATCAAGTATATGCTTAAAAAAAATATAAGTATTTTCTTGATTTAACACTTTTTTAATAAGGACAGTGCAATACTCTTACATTATTTGGGATGTTTAAATGAATAGTAAATAAAAAGAAACATTTTTTTTTTTTTTAAATTCACTTAAATTAAAGGTCACAGTGACCTTGAAATAGGTCACACATTCTACCTAAGATGCATAAACTGGCCAAGTTTGATGATTGTAGGTCTTATGGTTTTCTAGTTATGGGCCGGAAAGAATTTTTCCATATTTGGCTATAACTTCTTAATTAAAGGTCACAGCGACCTACTTTTTGTGTGCGACACACCTTCTACCCAAGATGCATCAGATGACAAAGTTTGATAATCCTAGGCCTAGTAGTATTAAAGTTATGAGCCGGAAACGAAAAAGCTAACAGACAGACGGACGGACACGAAGCCTATAACATAATACGTCCCGTCTTAAGACGGGCGTATAAAAATAGTCCAATGACCAATCATGGCTTTGCTATTCTTGAGAAGAAGATAATTTAAAGAATTTTCCTATACATTTCTATGTAAAACTTTGGTCGGCCATTGTGGCCCCGCCCTACCCCCGGGGGTCATGATTTGAACAAACTTGAATCTACACTACCTGAGCAGGGGCGGATCCAGCAATTTTTGAAAGGGGGGGTTCCAGGGTTGTGTCCCTCTAACCCCCCCCCCCCTTTACACACTCTCAGGCAAAGATTCACACACACATGTATGGAAAAATATAAGATTGTGGAAAATAATATCTTTGTTCTATGTCCTTTTTTCTTTAAAAAGGTACTTCCAGTCCGTATTAAAAAATTAACACATTCAAAAAAACTACTGAAGCCTTAAAATTGAATGGATTTGCAGCATTTCCGAAGAGTAGAATGAATTTTCTTAATGAATTTGAAAATCCTTTTTAAGTTGGGTATAAAAAAATGAATTAAAGTTTAGTTCCTTCATAAGATTTAATTTAATAAAACGGCACCTTCTTGTATATAGCAAACACAGACAAATTAAGATCGCGGGAATCTAATATCAAATTTAATCTCGCAGGTTACATATATATAAGATATATGAAAATAAGTAGAATATTTTCTACCATTCAATCATAAAAAGTAATAGTGAAGGTGAATGGAAAAACTAAATGTGTGAGAATCTATCTTTTCAATACATATTTAAGTTAGACGTACAAATACTTATTCTCGGGAAACGTTTTATCCCCCCTTCTTTCTCTCTCTTTCTCCACTTGGCAAGAAATAAAGGGGGGGTTCCAACCCCCGGAACCCCCCCTCTGGATCCGCCAATGCCTGAGGATGCTTCCATATAAATATGATCAGTTATGGCTTTGCTATTCTTGAGAAGAAGATTTTTAAAGAATTTTACTGTATATTTCTATGTAAAACTGTGGACTGCCATTGTGGCCCCGCCCTACCCCCAGGGGTCATGATTTGGACAAATTTGAATCTATACTAGCTGAGGATGCTTCCATATAAATATGATAAATCATGGCTTTGCTATTCTTGAGAAGAAGATTTTTAAAGAATTTTCCTATATATTTCTATGTAAAACTGTGGTCGGCCATTGTGGCCCCGCCCTACCCCCGGGGTCATGATTTGAACAAATTTGAATCTACACTACCTGAGGATGCTTTCCTATAAATATGACCATTCATGCCTTTGCTATTCTTGAGAAGAAGATTTTTAAAGAATTTTCCTACATATTTCTATGTAAAACTGTGGTCGGCCATTTTGGCCCCGCCCTAGTTGAACAAACTTGAATCTACACTACCCGAGGATGCTTCCATATAAATTTGATCAATTATGGCTTTGCTATTCTTGAGAAGATTTTTAAAGAATTTTCCTATAATTTTCTATGTAAAACTTTGGTCGGACATTTTGGCCCCGCCCTACCCCCGGGGGGTCATGATTTGAACAAACTTGAATCTACACTACCTAAGGATGTTTCCATATAAGTTTTATCTTTCCTGGCACAGTGGTTCTTGAGAAGAAGATTTTTAAAGCATACCACCAAATTTTCATTAATTCCCAATTATCTCCCCTTGAATGAGGGCGTGGCCCTTCATTTGAACAAACTTGAATCCCCTTCACCCAAGGAAGCTTTGTGGCAAGTTTTGTTGAAATTGGCCCAGCGGTTCTTGAGAAGAAGTCGAAAATGTGAAAAGTTTACAGACAGACGACTGACAAAATGTGATCAGAAAAGCTCACTTGAGCTTTCAGCTCAGCTAGGTGAGCTAAAAAGCTTGTTCATCTTAAGACAATTTGTATATTTATTATTTTCTGCACTGCATGTACATTTGTAGCTGATCAAAATTTTCCTCTAGAATGCCAATATCTTATTTTACCTGGAATGCATAAGTTCTTTGCACATCCCACAGCCAAAACTTGTTTGTGTTCCAGAGGCAGGCAAACTGGAAGAAAGCCCTCAATGCAGTGAAGATTACTTGACTCTGTTTCTGTAAAACAGTCCACACTGTTATCCTGGATGGTTATGTTCTTGTATGTTGGGATGGTTCCCCCTCCAGAACATGACGATTGCTTTTCCTACAAAAGGGAGTAATGCAGAAAATAGATACATGTATTAGATTAACCATTATTTATGCAATTTAATTATAATAATCATGATAATCGGAAATTAAGGTGGAATGCATTTAATTTGGATGTTAATATTTTTTTCATTTTCTTTGAAAAAATACAAAAAAATTCATATAAAATAATTAAGAGCTAATATCGGCCTTTCAATGCTGAAACCATTGTTTAAAAAGGATGACTCAAAGATCTATAAAATAAAAAGTTGGTTTGGCATATCCTTAACAATACAAAGAAACTAAAAACAATAAAGACAGAAATACATGTAAAATATGAATAGTAACTCATCATTCCTAATTAATTAAATCATTCTTATGAGTTTATGAATAAGAAATACTTGTATGTTTCATTTTTTAATACCTTGAATGACAACTAAAATATAAAGTCATGTGTGTGTACTATGTGTGTATAAGTGATATAATCATAGCTACTAACAGTAAATTACATGAAACATTAACACAAAACAAGGTGAGTTTGTAAAACACTGATGCTCACACCTAGTACATGTAGGTTTTTACAAAAGTACATCAAACACCAAGATTAAAAGATAACTGGGTTAATTTTTATCTTCAAGGAAGGTCTTGTCCCAAGGAACTATAGTAAAATATGAATGAAAACCTTAGCACCAACCCCACAAAGATCATGGCTGAGGAAATTTTTAAAAAGCTATACTGTAGGAGTACTTTTTTCTGCATGGTATTAATTTACGCTACATGTACGTGGTCACAAATTTTCCACATAAATTTGTCCAAGCGTACTTATATAAATGCAAGGCATATATAGTGACAATCTGAGAAGTCCGTATAATTTTCAACCCACAGATTAAACAGAAACTGAGATTCCCCTAAATTATTACACTGTGGAAAAAAGTACGTCTACAGTATTTCTATGCTGTAATAAATCAAAATCCTATTAAAAATTAAAAAAAAATTATATAGATATTATCAATAATATACATGATAGATGTGTAACAGCATATTGATCAATTATGAAAAATTAAGCAGAAGAAAAAAATATTTTTTACCAAATTGGAAAGATTAATTGGCAGCTAGGTTTGAATAGAATATCATACCTACATATTATATGAATAAAATGAATATGAATAAATCCTTTTTGTTAATTACAAAATAAATAGGAAAATTTTAGTCCCAATTAAATCTTGTTGACAAAATAAACTTGCGATGATTATTTTCATGGGTGAGACAGCAATACTTCAAACATAGATCATAGATGTTGATCGTGTCCAGAAATATATATGCAAAGTTACCATATATATTAGATAAAATTTGTATTTAATAAGTTCTGGATTAGATTTGAAAAGGTTAAGTGACTGTGTGCTCTTCTAAAATGCTAATTGTTTGTCTGACTGTGTGTGTGTGTTTACTTTTCGGACTTTTAAATACCAAAGAGATTTGCTTACAACCATGTTTCTGTTATCTATCCTGTGATTTGTTTACAAAGCTGTACTGCTTGTAAACATGTGCACAAGCATTTAATTCATTATCTTAATTAATTTTTATGTTCCAATCAAAATTATTTTAAAACATTTGATGAAATTTCATTTTTCATGAATTCAGAAATATTTCATCATTATACAATTGGAGCGAGCAACTTTTAGAAGTACATGCATGTACATAAAAATTTGTTAAATGTTTTTGATAAATTCATATCCTATAGTAGTGTGTTATATATGCTAAGCTTGAATAAGGACTATGATTTTTATTAGCTGTCTATCATACATGTATGTTATGTCTATCTTATGTTAATTTCAAAATATGATATGATATAAGAAGCTCACAATATAGCAAGCTCTTCATACACATGTACAATTATATATAAGGCTGCTGTGAGTCAAATTTATGACATAAACATAATTACCTTTCACTGCTACAGTAACAAAGATTATAAACTAGATTATAGAATGAGGAATTTAATTTTAAAGAAAAATTGTTTCACATCTCACACTGCATTATTATTTTAATAAGTAACATTCCTAGAATTTGTAACTTCCTAATGTAATCTAATAATATTTTGATAAATTCCTAACACCCAAGCACCCCTCACCTGAACAAACTGGCTATTAACCCAGTATTAAAAGGGGGAGGGGGATTTCATACTTCTTGAAGATGCTTCTATGTCAATAAAAGCATATTTCTCTGCCTTTCTTGAGAGTAGTTTTTTTTTAAAATTATTTTAAGATTTTTTCCTTCTTATATCTTTGTGACAATTTGATTCTCCATTGTGGTCCCTCCCCTCTCCAAAGGGTCATGATTTTAACAAATTTGAATCCTCCCTACATGAGGATGCTTAGATGTCAATATGACTACTAGACGTAGCTATTCTGTTCTTGAGAAGACTTTTTCCTATATATTTTATGTAAAAATTTGATCCCCCCAATGTGGCCCCTGCAACCTACCCCGTGGGTCATGATTTGCACAAACTTGAATCTAAACCACCTTAATATGCTTCCATATAAAAAATCACTAATCACGTCTTTGCTGCTCTTGAGAAGAATTTTTTAAAGATTTTTAATTTCCCATATATTTAGGTAATACTAGAACTGTCCAAACGGGAAAAAATACCCCCGGCTGGGTTTTTCAGAAGTAAGTTTTTCCATAATAAAGATATGTATCACACATGAATTATGAAATTTTTCTTCTAGTGACCTTGAAGTTCCCCAAATGACCTTGGGTCAAGGTCATGACACACCCATGGGTCATGGGCAATCTTTGTGTGGAATGAGAACCTACCAAGTTTATCCATAAGAAAGATATGGACCGGACATGAATTATGAAATTTTTCTTCCAGTGACCTTAAACTTTGCAAAATGACCTTGGGTCAAGGTCATGAAACACCCTATTGTCATGGGCTATCTTTGTGTGAAATGAGAACCTACCTAATTTATCCGTAAAAAAGATATGGACCGGACACAAATTATGAAATTTTTTTTCCAGTGACCTTGAAGTTCCCCAAATGACCTTGGGTCAAGGTCATGACACATCCATAGGTCATGGGCAATCTTTGCATGAAATGAGAACCTACCAAGTTTATCCATAAAAAAAGATGTGGACCGGACACAAATTATGAAATTTTTTTTCCAGTGACCTTGAACTTCCCTAAATGACCTTGAGTCAAGGTCATGACACACCCTTAAGTCATGGGCAATCTTTGTGTGAAATGAGAACCCACCAAGTTCATCCATAAGAAAGATATGGACCGGACACGAATTATGAAATTTTTCTTACAGTGACCTTGAACTTGCCAAAATGACCTTGGGTCAAGGTCACGACACACCCTTAGGTCATGGGCAATCTTTGTGTGGAGTAGTAGATTCTAATGTCCCTCCATAAGAAAGATATGGACCGGACACGTTTGCACAGACAGATGGACAACTAGACAGACAGACAAGGTGATTCCTATATACCCCCCAAACTTTGTTTGCGGGGGGTATAATAAAACTTGCCCATTTTGGCCCACCCTATCTGGGGGGTCATAATTTGAACAAATTTGAATCTACACTACCTGAGGATGATTCCATAAAAATATCACCAATGCTGTTCATGAGAAAGAGATTTTTAAAGATTTTTAAAGATTATTTCTATGAAAAAACTTGGATGATCCACTGAGGTCCAACCCTTCTCCTTTTGGTCATGATTTCAAATTGATTCTGTACTATGTCAAGAAGCTTTAAATTTGCATGTTCTATCTCACTGATTCTTGAGAAGATTTTTAAATTCATCCTCCCAATTTTCAATGTAATTTGTTTATCTTGAAAATAAAAATTTCAGGTTGTATTAGTCCCCTCCCGCCTGAACACACCCTTACAGGTTCAGAAAAAAATATGCATTTAAATTGGTTAACCCTGAAAATGCCTTAGTACAGAGTCAGAAAAAAATATGCATTTAAATTGGTTAACCCTGAAAATGCCTTAGTACAGAGTAAGTTACGTTACACTCCATGTAGTTTTACAAGAAAATGACAAAATTTTACTAATAATTAGTGAACTTTGTATTTATTTACAAATATTCATAGTTTATCTGAACTACTAGCTCTATAGTGTCTAGTGGGAGAAAAGTGAGTGTATATGAGAATTGCATTTTAGGGTGTGTAACAATTCCAGTCAAGCCTCTATCAAAGCAAGCATTCAGTTACATACTTCTCTATACATTTTATTTCAAGAATTTTACATTGTACACATATTTCCGACTTTTATAATATTCATTTCTGAATTTTTTTTTATTTTCATCATGTTCATTTCTGACATTTATATAGTTACAATTTCTGCAAATTTTTCTGTGTGTTTTTTTTTGTACCTTTGCAGCAATTTTGCATGTCTATTGATAGAATTTATAAGAAATTTCAGAAAATCTTGAATTCTGTTCATTGCCAGAAAAACACTTTATGGCTAAATTAAATGTCAGAATTAAACATTTTAAAATATCAGACATGAAAACTACAACACGTCGGAAATGAAAAGTATATATTTTAGAAATTCCAGAAATGAAATGCATACATGTCATGCATACAGTCATATTTCACAAACTACATGAACATCGATTTAAATTAAAAGTTAATTTTATACTTAACAAAACAAAAACACCAAAAAAGGTAATTGGGGTCATAACACAAGTCTTAAGCAATGCAAGTCTAGTAAAGTAAAACTTGACGTTGTATAATCCAAAATCTCGTCTAATATGATCTTTACAGAGTTCCTATTGATCAGTGACTTCATTTATTTGAAATGTTAAATGTCTAAACCAAAATGTTGTGTTACTGTAAATCCTATTTCATTCGTTATAACTTTATTTTCACAGAAACCACAGTTTGCAGAAATTTAATCTAGAGCTCTAAAAAGTATGAAATGGCTAACTTGCAAAAAATAAGGTGTCATGAAAATATAGTGATCTACAGTGTCCACACAATTTATTTGGAACCAGGGTTGTCTGGATTATACAAGACAAGTTTTACTGTACTCTAAATCTATACACCAAGGTGAAAAGGTAAAAAGATGGCTGATGCTGATTAATAAGAAACATAAGTCATATCAAAAGTGCTACAATGAAAAGAACTAAATGAAATATTTACCATGTTTACTATTCTTTGCGTCCTATGGAAAGAGGAATGACATGAAGTGTGTAATTTTCAATTCTTTAAGCATATGTTTCATTATGGCATTTAAAGAACAATTTAACATACCGTTGTTCTTACGTTCCCTGCTTGACTCCCTGCACACATACATACTGCAAATAAAAAGAAAAAATAATCTCAATCAAGTATGATGTATCAGCTGTGCACTTCATATTTAAGATTGATGGATAATGAAGAAGAATATCTTTCATATACTGATTTGATGAATGGACAACTAACATCGCCACTAAGTAGGCCTGTCACGGTTAACCGAAAACTCGGTTAACCGCTCATGGCATTCGGTTCCGTTCGAGTCAGGTTTTCCGGAATTTGGTTCGGTTTTTTTATCTTTTATATAATACTAATTTGCTTGCAACACGCGTTGTGATTGGTTGTTTATTTTAATGAAGGGTTCTTTAACCAATGAAAATACAGGTAACATCGAAGACATTCATGTGGAAGGAAAACCAAATCACAAGTAATTGTTTTGTCAACCACGTCCCCTACTTTCAAAAACGTGAAGTATTCCCACACTTGTGATTTAGTGATAACTCTAGTCAATAACTATATTTATTTTATTTTATTTTAAACAAGAAGTTTATTACTTTGTTATTTTTTGTTACATTTAACAACTTGTTCTGTTGAATAAAATGGATAGAAATTTGTGTCAGCAAAATAGTACTTTCTACAATGTCCTTTATCCTTATTATCCTTTGATATATATAAAGATGTTTTATTTAAATTCTCAAAATGAAAACCTAACCGAAAAAAACGAAAACTGAGAATTTATTTTCTGAACCGAACCGAAAAATGTCTGAACCGTGGCAGCCCTACCACTAAGTCTTAGATTTCAGTAAAAGTATTACTCTAAATTCTTACTTTTAGGGACAATTTAAAATACACAACATCTGCACAATATGTAAATTTGCATTGAATTGGCTATTAAAGATCTTAAAAATAATTCCCTATTTTGTTTTTTAAATCTTGTGCGCTGTAAAGTTGTAACTGAGATGGCCATCTTGGACTTTGGAACTTAAATTAGCATCAAATAATTATGCTAGCTCTCCCTATGTAGTGGCTAGGCTACCTTGTTATTTAAGAGCACAGCTTTACGAAGATGCTATGTAGTCAGATTGCTCTTAAACACAGCCCTGAAATAACAACTATAAGACGTTGATATTCCAGTATGAATTTCTTCTGAAATGGTTAGATATTAAATCTTACCAAACAGCAGGAATGGAAGCAGACAAAGGAAACTGGACATCTGGAACTTTTCCTATGAAAAAGACATGAAAACCATGATTAAATTTTCTGAAGTTAAAAAGAGTTTGACACGAACACTACTAATCAGTAAATCCTCTGACTCTAACCAAATTTTGCTTTCAATATTGCATGCAGGAAAGATTCAGAGCGTAGACCATATTGAAAAGTGGGATTAATTCAGCGACACCAACTGGTGACGCAACTGCAACTCTGCCTACCTTTTAAAATTTTATTTTGAGGATCTAACTTCTGGGATGCGAGAAATAAGTAAAGGAATGATCCCTTTAAAATGAACGATCCCTTTACTGATTTCTCACGACTCCGAAGTTAGATCCTCAAAATAAAGTTGTAAAAGGTAGGCAGAGTCAATACACCAGCTGGTGTCGCTGAATTCCAAATTTTCAATATGGCCTCCACTCTCTTACTCTCCCCTGCACTAGTCACAATATAAAAAGCAGGAGTTAGAGTCAGAGGATTCAGAAATCTCGGATTACAAAACTAGTCTTTTTTCAGAGTTTGACAATATCTTCAAGAATAACATGAACAAAAAATTAATTAACAGATAAAGTAAATATATCCTATACATTTTATACACAAATATAATATTACATGGATTTCCAGGTAACTGCGCAGAAAATTTTGCTCTGCAAACCATGTCAACTGCATAAATTACGGGATATGTAGCGTTATGGTCAAGAACCAATATAATATAACGCTACAGTTTTGCAAATATAGTACACATACACCTTTATAAATATATAATTATCCTATTTTAAAGACAAACATACCATGTTTGGCTCTGTAAACGAATTTGTTGACTGTGGAGTGTTTGTCGAAGTGGGCGTGTACAACGTGTTTGTATTTCGAACCCGATGTTAAATATGTTCTTTCCATAGGCGCTTACATGGTGTATTTTGTGTATTAAGTGTTTTCTATGTGTGTCTGAATACCCTCATTAAAATAAAATAAAAATTCGACGAAATTTATTTATCACGTTTTAAAAAAATGTCATATTGACTGTATATATAAAAAGAAGCGCTTGGTTACAGGATGGTGTATTTTGTGTATTAAACAGGTTGGGACCAATTGCCCAAATGGGATATAATAGTCCGTTTGGGATATAATATCCCAAATGGGCTATAAATTTACAGTGCAAAAATTGAAAATTTTTGTTTTGGCAATGAATATCATAAATCCGCATTAATATACTTAAAAGGAATAACTTTTGGCAAGCAAGTTTTTCCGCAGCCCTGCAGTTTGTAAGATTGATCCCCAAGAAGTTAAGGAACTTCCGAGGGATCAATCTCCTAAACAATGGGCATACAGAAAAACTTGTCAACCAAAAGTTATTCCTTTTTAAGTGTTTTGATGCGGATTTATGATATTTATTGCCAAAACAAAAATTTTCAATTTTTGCACTGTAAATTTAATTTATAGCCCATTTGGGATATTATATCCCAAACGGACTATTATATCCCATTTGGGCGATTGGTCCCAACCTGTTAAATAATATCTAATCACAGGGGCTTGTGTAGAGAAAATAAATCAGTTAAAAAAAATAATAAGTACCTCGGAGAAAAAAACAGTGTTTTTCTCCGTGTGTCTGAATACCTTCATTTAAATAAAAATAAAAATTAACTGAAATTAACACGTTTAAAAAAAAAAATGACATATTGACTATATACATACATATAAGAAGATTTAGGTCTTGCCACAAAAAATACATGTGACAAGGATAAAATATGTAAAGTATGAAAGCACTAGCCATAAACCCTCTAAAACTTATTGTCAAGGTTTGCTTTTTATAAGCAAATCAAACTCCAAGGTCAAGGTCAAAGGGTCAAAGTTTTTGGTATACAATGAAGGGTCTTCTCACAAGGATTACATATGTGAAGTATGAAAGCCCTATCCCTTTACTATTCAAAAGGACTATGGCCAAGGTTAAAACAAAAATTCACAAGTATGGAAATCTCCAAGGTCAAGGTTGTTGGTATCCAATGAGAGGTCTTTCCACAAAAAATACAGAAGTTAGGTGTAAATGTCCTGTGTCTCTACTGTTCAAAAGATATGGCCAAAGTAAAAGTAAAAAAATTTTGTGTAAAAGTGGATCAAACTCCAAAAGGTCAAATTTGGTGGTACCCAAAGAAAGGTCTTGTCACAAGAAATACACATGTGAAATATGAAAGTCATAGCTCAACTAAATCAAAAGTTATGGGCAAGGTTCAAGTTTTTGCGGACAATTAATAGACAGACAGACAGCTAGCTAGACCGATGGACAGACGGAGATGACAAAAACTACATTGTATATACCCAAGAAACTTCGTTTACGGGGACATAAATATGTGCTTTTCTTATATACATAAAAAATATTTTATTAATTTTAATATCAAAGCGTGTACGTGCTTTGTAGCTAATGGATGGATTACAATTTCAACAGAAATGTCCAGCACCTAAAATGACATGCAAAAGAATGATCATGCCGTTTTTTTGTGGAGTAAAATTCTATACTTTTTTTTTTCATCGATTATAAAAATAATTATAAGTTTAAAATGTGCTACCGGTAATCCAAACAATCAAATTAAGTGTCAGATTGATAAATTTACTAAATTAATGAACGATAGCGCAACATCATTTAAGCTTTAAAGCTCTTTTACCGACTAGAAGTACTTTTGAATACTCAGATTTTACCTTGGCCATAACTTTTGAACAGTTGGTGCTGAGACTTAAAATATTTCATGTGTATTTCTATTTGACCCTTTCATCTTTGAGTTTTACATGTACCCACATTGTTTATCCTTTGTCATGTTTTAGAATGGTTAGTGCTTGGACCTTCAAATTTAATAGGTAATATATATTCACAGACACAAGTTCTTTCTTTGCAATTGGGTTGCACCATTTTTCAGCTCTTGACCTTAGAATTATATCTTCATTTTAGAAACTTCAACCTTTTGCAAAAGCTGCCATATGGAGGCATGTGTTTCACAACCTGTCTTTTTTTATCTGCAATGTATGAGTTACTGATTCTGAGGGTATGAATGTCACTGCTTTATGGACTATCTCCATTATATATTGTGAGAACTCTGACTCCAAACAATATCACTCCCAGATCAAAGAATGTGTAAATACAAGCAGAACCAAGATGAAACATAAACTAACTTATCAGAAGTACTTGCATACAATAATTGTTTAAGTCCCAGGGAATCAAAGCAAGGAGTTTATGCAGACTATGTAGTGTAGCTGTCTTAGAGTTCACTGGGTTATATTAAGATGACATATGATTTAATGAAAATTTAAACTGATAAAATATTGATACATCGAAACTTAGTACTAATATAAAGTCTTAGTCAGAGAAATAATAAGTCAAACCCAAACCTTAACAAATACTTTATTGCACACATGAATTGACAAGCATTTTAGTAAAAAGCGCTACAAAGAAAAAAACATGGTATATTCTTGTTACACAGAGCATTCAGTGATATAAACATTATTATAATTTAATATACAAGAATTTCTTAAATGAAGGCACACAAATAATTCTGCAAAATTTCTGTTTTTACTATATAAATATGCCCTCTGAAAAAAGGTAACTATGATTTTAAATTTCTGGGCTTTTGTGATGCTTATCCATACAAGCACTTATATTTCTACATTTGATAAGTGCAGTCTTAAAAAAAAATAAATCAGAATTAAATCTCTTCTTTCCAATTTAACATTGGCACAAAGATTAACATTTATAACAAATTAATATGCATTCACATCAATCAACAACTTCAGTCTTCCAAACAAATAACATCAATAGTGCTTGGTTATAATTTTTCAAAGAGAAAAAAATCTTTGAAAAAATACAATTGATTAAACCTGTTTTGAATAACTGTTCGTGTATGTATATTCTAAAATTGTGTAGAAAAAAAAAATAATTGCACTCTACAAATTACCGGGTAGAGGATGCATGGACCCCAAATCTTGTGTTGCATTTTGGTAAGTTATGTTGGTCACAAGAAAAATTTGATGTCTAGAACACAAATTAATCAAAATACATTAAAAAAAATTTACATTATAACATCAAGGAATCTGAAAGTCAGACTCGACAGTTCATTGAAAGTACATATGCCTAAAGTTTAATATGCATTAATGTTATGTAACACTATGTATGTATAAAACAAACAGTGAAACCAGTTATTATATCAAAGTTTTTCTATAGACATTATAGAACTTAATTGTGTTCAAAATGTTTGCAATTGTACCATACTTACATACAACCAAAAAATGTCAAAATATTGTCATGGAAAACTTGTCAAAGCATATAAATGATTCTAATGCAGCTATATGTACAAATATTCATTGGCACATATGTATTTTTATCACAAAGAACCTCAAGCACTGACATCACCATAATGCTTTTCTTTAATATGGTTGTTCATGAAATGAATCAATATATGCATTAAGCAGTTCTCTAATTGTACATGCATGGTATCTTAAAAATAATGTCTTAAACTCAAGAAAACATGAACTAATCTTCCTTTCTGCATGAATACATTGCCATTATCTAAAACACAAGGTACAACCAAAACAAAAATTTATTTTACTCTATTTTTACTCTATCTTGAGCAATATGTCTATAGCATTTTAATCTTCTTTCATTTTGTTTTTATGAGAATCTCCCACTTTCACTTTGTCATTCAACACAAAACTCTATCTCCTTTCAATTCGTTTCTGGGAGTAGATGGCATATAAAAACAACCATACATCCACCGCCTGATTGTTCATGATCTTGGTGAAGTTTTCTCCTTCATTGGGGATTCTCCCCACTAGGTCAGTCATCCAGCCTGGGTAGGTCAGGTCAAGGTCATATTGAGGAGCTGATAAATATCCAATCATTGTGTCTCTTAGGCTAAAATAGAAAGAATAAACAGGACATTAATATTTCCCATTTGTATGGAAAAAATTGACATTGTAACAGTATATTTATTGCCAGTTTTTCAGATTTCAAAAAGAAATCAAAATTGACTGTTCAAGATAAGTAAAATCTCAATATTTTCAATATATTTTTAAAATAAATCGGCAAGTTTTCCCCTACTTTGAACATATCATCAATTACCTGAGCTTGGTCATGTCTAAATCGTCATCATCGGTTCCTTTGGGGACTGTAATGGTCAACATGATACACTCAAACAGGGTGTCCAGCAGGAGTTCTAGTCTCTCTACGGAGAGTTCCTCACAGAACGAGGTGATGATGTCACGCTGGTCAGGGTGGAGGTCCACCCTCAACTCACCCGACACGCCCTCAAAGGCATCCTGGAAAGAGATAAAACAGTGTGTATATTAATCAAAGTATATGTAGTTATGTCAGGGAGGAGGTCCACCCTCAACTCACCCGACACACCCTCAAAGGCATCCTGAAAGAAGGAAAAATAACTTGTATCTCAACCCATAGTGGAAATGATGGAGCAACAGATTTTTTCTCTTTGAAATACTTGAAAGCATTTGGATTTCCTTTTCCTTTACAAATTTATCTTTCATGGCTGGCCCTGAAATAATACAATAATATCAAGAACTGCTCTCATTTGATTTACCTCCTTGTGTGAAGCTTGTCTTTTGGTTTTCTCCATTGCTAAAGTGATCCAGAGTGATTGAGCATGCTTACATACACAGGAAGATCTTGCCTAGAAAACAAATGAAAACTATACATTTTGCCTCAATCAGTAAACAAAAACATAGACCTGACCCTCAAATAACTTCACATGTCAAGGTCACATATATCACACATTCTTTCAAGGTCAAGACATGTCAAAAATCATAAAAGTAACATAATTCATTATTGAAACCCACCTTTTGACTGGGGAATGGATTTTCCATTTTAAGAGTCTGGGTCATGAACTTCTCCAAGGACATGTTTGCATCACCCCCTACAGATTTCAGGAAGCTGATGGTAATGTCAAGTTTATCAAGTGTCTGACAGAGATCAGGGTAAGCTCTGATCTCTTCACTGATCTGATTGGCTACTGCTGGGGTCAAAGGTTCCTATGAATAAAACCAAAAGTAAGAATCCAAAAAGTAAGAACAAGAAAAAATATAAAATTAAATTGAACAATTTCATTAAGCATTAAATATATCTATAAACAGATGTAGCTAAACACGTCAATTATAATTTTCAGATGCAAGAAAAAGAGGCAATGAGTGTTTTAGAAGAAAATTATTCCTTAATTTCGATGAAAGTCTTTGATTAACCTGTTTGATTTTCTGCCTGAGGTGTCTAAACACCACTGCATTAGTTGTCTCTGATCTGTATGTCATCATCTCAAACTGAAAGATACATAAAGCATAGCTCAAGATTGATACATGTGCAGTAAAACTCGGTTATTACAAAGTCACTAGGACCTATGAAATAATTTTGCAGCATCTGTAATTCGATATATATCCCTATAAGGAATTTGTTAAATTTATTTAGCTGGGGGTCCAGGGTAACTTCACAATATCCATATTTGTACTAAATGAGTTTTACTGTATATTGATTTCATATTAATTCAATCAAATTTAATTGTATGTATAAGATCGTCAACTTGTTTCACAAAGTTAATTACTACAGCATTCCCTGCATATATACCTCATAAACAGGCATGTCTATGACCGACTTGGAGAACAGGAATCGGTCCATCAGCTGGCGCTCCAGGTCCCCAAAGTTGTAATCTATCTTGGTTCCCTTGCCCACCTGGAAGGTGTAGTGACAGTTGGCCAGAACCATGGGGAGGATGTCCCGGTCAGGGTGGTAGCTGATCAGGTGGGGGGACGTCACGTCATTCACAGGGACCTTGGGCAGTTGTGTGTACCTGCGAAAATGTGTTTTATTAATTATATTTAACAAGAGGCCCACGGGCCTTATAGGTCACCTGAGCATTATGCAACAATTTTCCAGTTATTGAATTTGATTCATGTTTTAAGCCAGATGCTATATGACATTCACAATTTTGAAAGAGGCACCACTGATCATCATAACAATACACTTAGCAGTAGCTTAGCTTGGTTACTGAATACCCATATGCAGGGTAGGGGAACAAAAATGCATTCCAACTAACCAGTAGTGCCCCTAACACTGTGACATAAACCCCTGACCCTAGGTCCACACATTGAACAAATTTCAAAAAGGCACCCTTAATATCAAAAAATAAATAAATGTTTTATAAATACAAAAAAGCAGATTTCAAACAATAAATTCATTTTCAGTATATAAGTAGAGCCCCCACCCCACCCATGACCTTGGGGCATTGAAATTCGAAATTCTGCAAGATTAGGGCCCTTGCTCATCATAACTACAGACCCTAAACCGTGCTACTACACCTCAGAAACAAACCGTACCGTTCTGTGCACAAAGCGTACCGTACCGTGAACAAAGCGAACCGTTCCGTGAACAAAGCGTTCCGTACCGTCCACAAATCGAACCGTTCCGTGTACAAAGCGTACCGTACCGTGCTCAAAGCGAATCGTTCCGTGCACAAAGCGTACCGTACCGTCCACAAAGCGTACCGTTCCGTGCAAGAAACGAACCGTACCGTTCTTTGGTTAATTATGCAAACCACGCCCCCAATTATTTCCGAACCGTGCTTTGACCAAATAAATCATTTTGGTTTATTTCTCTCAATAGCGCCCGTGAAAGAGGACGGAGGTTATGTCTGGCTATTTGAAACACCATTATCAAGTAACATGCATCTGGGCTTTTAACTGTGAAAATTCAAAACAACTAGACAGAGTTTACATTGATTTCTTATTTGCTATAAATTAGATCAACTCGTTGTGTTACAGTACAGGCCTTGAGTTTTTCCCGCAAAACACGGTCACCGTGAGCCTTGAACTCAATTTCGGCATCTTTGAAGTCAGTGATTGTGGACGCCGTGTAACACGGTATATAACATTTCCCCATTACGGAACTGATAATAAATATTTTCATTTTCTTTATTTAAGAATCAACTTTTTAAAAAAATGTTTGTTGTACTTAAATATTCGTAATTTAACTATACAGATGTTTAAACTAATTCCCTGGTTGTCTTGACTTAATTTCGATTTTAATTTTGCCCATTTCAATTGATGAATCAGATACACGATCTTTTTTGCCGTAAGTATGCATTCATATGTAGTTCATATCAGATGCCTGATTTTACTAATTAATTATTTTGTAAGAATTTAAAAACATATAAATATGAACTGTCTGGCTAGAGTAAAATAAAAAAAAAGTGTATTAGACTCGCATATTAATCTGGCTCAGATATTTATACTCGACGAATCACTGATGTAGTTAGACTTACACTGAATATCGGCAATTCTGTCAAATATGGATTTAAATATTACATGCGGTAAACAGGAACTTCAGATTTCTACTGAACGGATATACATGTAATCTAATAAAAATCATAGTCTACAGGATACATGCATATTTGTGTCTGAAAAAAGGATAATTTACAAAATAAAATGAAAATAAAAAATACAATGATTTTTCTCAATCCTCTTTCAAGCCAAATTTTTTTTGTTACCCCCCCCCCCCCCCCCCCCCATTTTCTAGAAGGCGCTACTAATTAGCTAGTTCAGTCTGCGAATTTATGTGACGCTATTGTGCATTTTTTTTTTGAATAATGATAATTAATGGATACATCCTTATCTATTTGTGTCTGAAAAGGGACATTTTAGGAAGTAGATGAGTTTCGCTGAATGTCACTTGAGTGAGTTTTAAAAATGCATGTACACTTGATGTACGTCAGAGCTAAATAATTTGAAAGGTGTGTTAAATACATCGACCCTCTGGATGTGACCCAATATTTCTTAGAAGGTGTAAACTCTGAACTGACCATCAGAATGTTTCAAATCACAAGAGAAATTCTTTCCGCATAAACAGACTTTCAAGGTCACCTAGCGTCATGCGATTTTGATTCACAGGTGATGCACAAGGATTTCCTGCATACAGCATGTATGTGCAGAGAACGAATGCATTGCACAATAGTTGTAAATAGGTTGAGTTTGAACCAAAGTTGTGGACATTAAATAGCATCTGTGACTTTGGCGATGTAAATAAAACCAAGAATGAGAATAAATACAAGGTTTTGTTGTTGTTTTTTTTTTTACAGGTTATGTAACGGGGTTGCATCTCTCCCTCTCTCTCTCTCTCTCTCTCTCTCTCTTTCACGACATAGTATTTACACATTTTACAAGAAAAACTTATCAAATTGAAGAAAAACTTATATAAATAATTACTTAGACTGAAAGGATTTTTAAAAACAAAATACTAGTTTATGAAAAGAAATGTTTTCTTCACGCGAAATCCGATCGGAAGTCATTTTATTGATTCCAAGTTTCTGCTTCTGATTTTCGTATCTAAATTCAGAGTAATGAAAGATTTTCAGATCAATCAAAGATTAAATCATTTACTTAAGAAAAAAAAACCAAACAAACAAACAAGTCTTCTATGCCCTGTAAATTTTTTTAAAATTATTTTTCTTCAACATTTTTTATTACCGTAATAAATTTAATTTTTGTTACTGATATTTCTCTTCTAAGGCAGACATTTAAACGATAGATCAAACAATTTTAAAAATGAGAAACAATGTACTTAGATTAAAAATAAAAGCGCAAATAGTCATATTTTTTTTCTATAGATCAAACAATTCAAAATAATTTATATACATGTATAGTGTTAAATATGGAACAAGTATATATTCAATTCTGTTAAAGCTTTATTCTAGAATGAAAAATTATTATATACATGTGTGTCTTTTTTCTATTTAAAACACAGCCTCGGCAAACGTAAAATTAAAATACGTACGGAAATATTTACCTTCTATATATAAATATATTTACAAATGCCAAAAAGATCAGTGGGACGATGTTTTTCCTTTCATTTATTTTCTTATTTCCTCCATCACTGCTTCAGTGTAAATTAATTTTTAAAATTGAGACCGAAACATAGCACACAAAGCTATGACAAACATAAAAACATACATGTACATGTAATAAAACATTTGAACTTCCCTAATAAATAGAAACTCATTAATACTTCAATTTATATGAATAATAAATAAATTACATTCTTTAATTACGGAAATAAAAGTGAACACGTGCATAACGAACTTCAAAATTCGTTTAAATGGACTATTTTTTTGCAGCCAATCAATGACCAAAGCTAACAGGCTCCGCCCACTTCATTTGCATACCGTTTCCCAAAGCGTACCGTTCACAAAACGAACCGTTCCGTGCAAGAAACGAAACGTACAGTCCACAAAGCGTACCGTTCCGTGCACAAAGCGAACCGTACCGTGCACAAAGCGTACCGTTCCGTGCACAAAGCGAACCGTTCCGTGAACAAAGCGTACCGTACCGTGAACAAAGCGAACCGTTCCGTGAACAAAGCGTACCGAACCGTACCGTGCAAGTGGTGTAGTAGCACGGTTTAGGGTCTGTATAAAGGTAGTTCATCTGCTTTATACCCAGAGACAAAGAAAAAAAATTTCAAAGATTTAATGTATTTTCATTATATAATCAATTGAGCCCCGCCCCCTAACACCAGAACCCCTGACCCTGGTGCCATAAAATTCATAATTTTAAAAGAGGCATTCTTGCTCATCATAACTATGTACTTAGTTTATTTAATTCCTAGGAGCAGAGAAGAAGATTTTCAAAGAATTCATGTATTTTCAATATATATTCAATACAGCCCTGCCCTAACACCAGAAACCCTGACCCTGGGACCATAAAATTCATAATTTTGGTAAAAGCACTCTTGCTCATCATAACTATGCACTTAGTAAAGTTTATTTAATACCTAGGAGCAGAGAAGAAGATTTCAAAGAATTCATGTATTTTTACTATATATAATCTATAGAGCCCCGCCCTAACACCAGAACCCTTGAGCCATAAAATTCACAATTTTGGTTGAGGCACTCTTGCTCATCATAACTATGCACTTAGTTGGTTTTTTTTAATACCTAGGTCCTAGGAGCAGAGTAGAAGATTTTCAAAGAATTCATGTATTTTCACTATATAATCAATAGAGCCCCCCCTAATACCAGAACCCTTGACCCTGGGGCCATAAAATTCACAATTTTGGTAGAGGCACTCATGCTCATCATAACTATGCACTTAGTTAGTATATTTAATACCCAGGGGCAGAGAAGATTTTTAAAGAAATTGTGCATTTTCAAGATTTAAATCAACAGAGCCCCGCCCTAACACCAGAGCCCCTGACCCTGGGGCCATAAAATTCACAATTTTGGTAGAGGCACTCATGCTCATCATAACTATGCACTTAGTTAGTATATTTAATACCCAGGGGCAGAGAAGAAGATTTTTAAAGAAATCATGTATTTTCACTATATATAATCAATAGAGCCCCGCCCTAACAGCAGAACCCCTGACCCTGGGGCCATAAAATTCAAAATTTTCGTAGAGGCACTCTTGCTCATCATAACTATGCACTTAGTTAGTATATTTAATACCCAGGGGCAGAGAAGAAGATTTTTAAAGAAATCATATATTTTCACTATATATAATCAATAGAGCCCCACCCTAACAGCAGAACCCCTGACCCTGGGGCCATAAAATTCAAAATTTTGGTAGAGGCACTTTTGCTCATCATAACTATGTACTTAGTTAGTTTATTTAATACCCAGGAGTAGAGAAGAAGATTTCCAAAGAAATAATGCATTTTCACTATTTACTTATTTAGCCCCGCCCTAACACTAGAACCCCTGACCCCAGGGCCATGAATTTCACAATTTTGGTAGAGGACTCAATGCTGATTACAATCATGCGAACAGTTTGACTGCTTGATGTCCAGAAGTAAAGAAGAAGATTTTTAAAGATTGCATTAATTTTAGTGGTTTTGGCCCCACCCCTCAGGCCCCAGGGGGGCAGGGATCATGAAATTCACAATTTTTGTTCCCCTTCACCCATAGATGCTTTGTGCCAAATTTGGTTGAAATTGGTTCAGTGGTTGCAGAGAAGAAGCTGAAAATGTTCAAATGTTAACACACGACGCACGACGAACGACGGACGAAAACGGATAGCAATAGGTCACCTGAGTTTACTCAGGTGACCTAATAAAAGCATCAATTACAATGTACATGGACCATATCAAAAACACGTGAAATCAACTGAGCAATCAAATTAATAAATATGTTATTTACATTTATTTACTAAAAAAATATAGACTTACTGCATTTTTTTCTTCTTGCAGTACTCCTGGAGGAAGTTATTTTGTTTTTTAAGTAGGAAGTAGAGGAGGCCATAGGAGCAGAGTCCAGCGTCCCTGAAGGTGGGTAACAATACAGATACAGGGTGGCCCTCAGTAATCGCCTTCTGACAGTACTCCTTTGGGACCTTACCTAATCCTTCCAGTGTGGGGAAAGCTGCAAGATTCATAAATAATGTTCATATCAATTTTCAAGTTTTAACAATGACCATTAGAATAAGTGGATCTTAAAATTTTGAGTTTTTCATTTCAGAATCAAATTTAGACATTTAATAGACATTAAATTTTGCTTTTTAGGGAATAAAAAAATCTAATTCAATGGGTACATTAACAATATCAAAAATTTATCAATTACACCAAGCAATGACTCAAGACTGAATTTTAAATCATAGTCCTCATTTAAAGTCAGTTCTAAAATGAGGCTCTATTTGAAACTTACTGAATGTAAGAAGTTGTTCACGTACACACTGCCAAGCCTCAATGAAGTCCCTGACTAAATTCTTAATCTCTTCTGCTCTGCCCTCTGAAGTTGGTATATGGTAATTTAACAACAAAGAACAACTGAACTCAATTTTATCTCTAATTATATGTATCATGAGATTTAAATAACCGTAATTTCGGGAATATAGGTCGATGGGGTATATAGGTCGAAAGGCTCATTTTCAGCCTTAAATTTTGAAAAATCCTAAGATAGGTCGAACTTACTCTATATGACGAGGCTTTGTTTCCCGTTTTCTTAAGATTTTAACGCAGATACAACGTATCAGAACAGGTAAACCCCTAAAATTATCGGGGTTATTCCGTGACATGAACGTATCAAGAAAATAAACAGGTATTTTAATGAGTACAGCAATTAAATACTGTTTTTTTAAAAAAATGTAGTTAAAACTTCTTTGAATTGTGTTACTACTTATTTTTCTCCAACTTGCCTGTTCAATGCCTCCGTAGTTTCACACTGTTGTTAAATCAGAGGCATAAATAACACGTAAATACGTTATTATTTTACAGCTATAAATCGGGAGATACCCGAGACCAAAGAATAGTAATTCCGATTTCAGAACAACTTGGACACATTCCTAATAAATTTTACTCAAACATTATTTACCGGTGGACGACAATTACTTCGATGTCCGCCATTTTTATTTTTCTTCTCCAGGGATTTGCTAAAACACGCAAATGACCATTGAATGTATATATCAAGCAACAGTAAAGAATTGAAATCATATTAACACTCTATAAGTTTAATTTATAAATTTTAATTGAGAGTACATTCACAATTTGACTTTCAACATGAATTTCACGACATTGTTTGTTCAATGATGTGTAACACTAATACCCTATAATGGCACGTGGGTTTCTTAATCATGCCCCGCAGGCATTTAAACCAACAGTGAACACAGGTGTTAAACACCTTTGTGTACACAGTGTACGGTAACTCCCTTTATCTGTCAGACAATTAAAATTCTGTTAGAAGCCAATCTGTGTATACCGGTAAATAATTAATTAATATTTAAAAAAAACAGTTATGACTATTTTTTAAAATTAAATTTAGGAATTGAATTGATTATTTCACTCGTTTTACATTTAAATAAACATAAGACAATAAAAAATATTTGATATACTATTTCAATTTATCGCTACTAATAAATGGTAAAAACACAACAGTTGTGATCGTTAAATTTTGATACGGTTGCGGTTTTACTTTTAGTACACGATCGCGACTTCCTAACTTCACAAGATGGATACCGCATGATGTTAATGGATAATACGTTGAGGAATTATTTAATAGATATAGCAACGTTGTTTTCCTTTGTCATCAACAGATAATTAATGGAACTTATTTTATAAGAAAGCTATAGAATAAATATTTTATTGTTTACTGGAGCATTAATTTTTTTGCGAAAATAATCAAAAAAGTTACGAAAGTGGCACAGATTTGCTTTGAAATTGGCGTAAATTTTACTGATTTGGGGGCATTTTTCGTAAACTTGAGCCTTAAATAGGTCGAATTCTGAATATTGGTCGACCCCAGCGGTTCTGAAAAAAAAAGTATCGACCTATATTCCCGAAATTACGGAACATATTAAAATCTTTTTTTGCATTATTAACTTGCAGTTCACCTTCAAACTTCCCATTATTCACAGAGTATGCATTAACATACAGTTATGGATTAGGTATGAGGGAAATAAGCAAATTTATGGTTCCTCCAAGAGAGGAAATTATTTCCTAAGGTGGCAGATCTGTCAAGGGAAATAATTTCCTTCTCAAGGGAAACCAAATTTGTTATCAAGAGAGAGTGGAGAGGAGAGAAAGGGGCAAGAGAGAGTGGGGAGAGACGATCAAATTCATAAGTAGAAACAATTTTAGAATATTTTGTCTGATGTCATATTTAAGTTGAATATTTTTTTTCTTTTTTGGAGTTGCATCAGGTAAACAAGGCCAATGACTAAATAATGCCTTGCTGGTCAAATTCACCCACAGTAAAAACAAAAGGATTACCATTGTCATAAGACTGTATCATGTCCTCTATTGTTATGGTTGTGGCCTCTGCTCTGTCCAGCTTTCTCTGGTATCGCTGTATCAACATCCTCTGAAGCTTTAGGATGTTTGGTACCAGGCGGATAGCTCTCAGATGGTGCTCCTAAGCAAGCAGAAAGAGGTAAAATAAAACGTATTTATAAAACCTAGTATGTCATGGCAGGAAATCATATCAAAATACACAACTGTTACAGAGTTCATGTAGCATTTGCCTCCATTTCAACAATACTCAAACAAACTAAAAGCACAATTAATTACAGAGCTTCTTTTTTCAAAGACTAATAGTCACTATAGTTTACCTCTTGTAAGAACATGGCGAGTACTTGATGAGCCCTACTCTGTACTTGTAAGGTATGCAATAGATGGTCCATGGTTATCTGAGATCGGTAGCGCCACACGGCTGGAACGTTGTGTAGAGTGCTTGGTGAGGAATGCTCAGAGGGAATGTCTATCTCAAACAGCAGGCACAACAAAGGGTCAGAACCTGTCAAACAAGAAAGACCTTCAATGTTATGATACAGTATCTGTAACAGATGCAGACACTTGTCTATAATGTAGCTGATATAACTTTTCAGAAAGCATCCAGACCACAATTTACAGGAAATTATGCTGCTAAACATAACTCACCAAGTCTCTGGTCATTAGCAAGCTGTTTATTCACAGATTTCAGATAGCCATCCATTTCCTGAAAAACAAGAGAACGTTTATCTCACACATAAGGCAAATACATGTAACATTTAATTTCATAATACGTATTAGCAGATTTGAACAGTAGCGACTAAATTCTTTAAAAAATACCTGAAGAACTGGAGACAGGTATGTCTTGGTGAAATCCTCTTCCCATTTTTTCCTGCTGTTTTTATTTGCCAGGATGCATATTTCTTGGTTTAATGGATTGTCTGTAGGTAAGATTTTTTTTTATACCATAAGAACTGCAACTGTGTATATTAATAATTATAAATACAGTCTGACATTTGACCTTTTAAGAATAAAACCCAGGATGCTGCATTGCATGCATCAAGTAGAGAGGAGTTTGACTGGAGGAATGACAGATGATAAAAAATATAAATGCTTAAATGATGGCAGCTAAATTGTCTTCAAATTCTCAGGTCAAATATTTTCCCCAATCTAAACAAATTCTATCGTAAACATAAAGAGAAAGAAAATTCAAGAAGGGTTGATGAGAGAACTTTTAATGTAACTTATCAAAGATTAAAGAGAGCAGACACTCTGACCCCCTCCCACTTTTGAGACCCCCCCCCCCCTCCGAAGAACTTCAATTTAAAAACTCACTTCTGTGTTTCTCCATGATGTCATTACAGATTCTATGTATCAGGATATAGACATCGTCCACACTTTTCCCTATGGCCCTCTGGATGGTCAGAAGATCTTTCTCTATGTGAGCCCACAAGAATGGCAGGACTGTAGCAGGATCTAGGTCTGGCTTTATTATGGTGTGTATAGCCTAAGTAAATGGACATGAATAATTTATAAATACTCTAACAAAGCCTACAAAGGGCAATTTACATTTTTTTTCTGTAGAAAAAGCAGTAATTTCAGAGAAATTCAACACAAGTTTTCCTTAAATACATGATTGTATATCTATTAAACCTTAGTTAATAGTTTTGGAATAAATGATATAATCAATTTAAAGCAAACAGTCCAGATTTTTTTTTTCCAAGAATCTCTTTACCTTATATTCAGTTTTACTGATGACACAACTCACAACTTAATTTATCAATAAGTGACAACCCTTTCTAATGACAGCTTCATTAAGGAAAATTGTAGGAATAAAACCCCCACAAAAATGAACTCACTTGTAAGTTGATGCTGGCTCCTAGGTACATGGCCATGTGGGTGAAGAGCCTGACTATGGCACACTCAACAGGAGACAGACTTCTCTCAGGGCTGGCTACAGGTTGTCTCCCTTCTGCTCGACCCAGAATGTGACCTGTGGCTGTCTGATCTAACCTATCGGCATCAAATAAAAATAGAAATTATATGTAACTACACAGAAAATCACACAGGCTCAGATTGATAAACATTCTTTTTATCTTGAGTTCATTTTTCATTAAAATTACATAATTTTCCTGAAATGGCTGTGACATCCATTCATGACAAAATCTTTTGAGACACTAGTATAAATTTAAGTTTCAAAAATCTTTGTGAACAATGTACAGCAAATAAATAAAAATTAAGAACAAACCCTTGGTCTAGAACATTGCCAGCTCGTAGCTGATAAGACTGACCCCCGATTTCTTGGCCACACTCTTTACACCTGCCCACCGTGGCGGGTCGACCACACTGTAATATAAACAGGGGGCGTTAACTTACCCATCATGTAACTTATTGGTGGCTAAAAGTTTGTGACCTTCCCCTCCTATCTCCATCCCACATTCTTTACAACGACCTTTATAATATGGACGACCACACTACAATTGACAACAGATGGTTGAACATTTTCATTGCAGTGTTCTCTGGAATTTGTGCAGGCTTCTTATTTATTGTAAGAAAATAAGTTATTTCTCCATAATATTCAAATATATTTTTCAATTTATATCAATTTAACAAAACCATAAATGACATAGTACAGTTTATTTCAGACAAAAAGGACTGATTTTATCAAAACCTTGTTTTTAGCTAAAATGCGTCTATAATATTTAGTGCCTTATATAAATTAAACTAAATGTGCATGGGTAGTATACAAGTCAAGAGGTAAATCTGAGATTGCCACAATCTGTTAGTAGATTCTAATTAATCTAAGTATTAAGAGATTTATATATGCTTTTATACAAATAATATGCAAGCATACAGTGACTAAATCCAAAATTGAATGGAATATCACATACTTAATTCAAACAAGAGGCCCACGGGCCTTATAGGTCACCTGAGTATCATGAAATAACTTTCCAAATATTAAATTTGGTTTGTGTTTTAAACCAGATTCCATGAAATTCAAGAGTTTGAAAGAAGCGCCATTGCTTATCATAATTATACACTTTATAGAATTATAGAAAGTGTAATTATACACTTTTTAGAATGCTTACTCTAGTTACTTAATACCCAGAGTTAGATCAGAGTAAGAAAGAGAAAATGCATTTTCACTTTATAACCAGCTAGTGGTGCACCCCACCCCTCAGGAACCACTGACCCTGGGGCCACACATTTCAAAATTTTGGAAATTTTATCATAAATTTTATTTCATCATAAACGGTTGATTAATACCACAGAGCAGATTTCAAAGCATTTAATATTTATCTTCAGACTATGTACTTTACCCCCCCCCCCCCATTCCCGATATCCCTGACCCAGAGAACATGAAATTTATCATTTTGCTAGATGCACCTTTCTTCATCATAAATATATAAACTTAGATCATTCGCATAATACCTAGGAGCAATGGAATAGATTTTCAAAGAATTCATGCATTTTCTCTATAAATAATCATTAGAGCTCCACCCTAACACCAGAACCCGTGACCCAGGGGCCATGAAATTCTCAAATTGGGAAGAAGCATCCTTCCTCATCATAACTATGTACATAGTTCATTTGTCTAATACCAAGGAGCAGAGAAGATGATTTTTGAGAAACAATGTATTTTCACTATATAGTCAATAAAGCCTAGCCCTTACATCACAACCCCCAACCCAGGGGCCACAAAATTCACAATTTTAGAAGAGACACTCTTGTTCATCATAACTATATACTTACTTAGTTTGTTTAATACCTAAGAGCAAAGAAGAAGATTTTTAAAGAATTCATGCATTTTCACTATATAATCAATAGAGCCCCGCCCTAGAACCCCTGACCCTGGGGCCATAAAATTCACAATTTGGAGGTCATCATAACTATGCACTAAGTTAGCCTTGTTGCAACCACTATTGAAATAACGACCACTATTGATATAATTATATCAATAGTGGTTGAGAGTGCATTTCAATAGCAAACATAGTTAGTAACCACTATTGAAATACGACCACTATTGAAATAATTATATCAATAGTGGTTGAGAGTGCATTTCAATAGCAAACTTAGGTAGTAACCACTATAGCTGCAGATCTGTAGCGTTATGGTTTTATATATTTGTCTTTGACCATAACGCTACAGATCCCGTAGTGCAAAAAAAGTGCAATTTACGGCGCAATATTTTTTGCGCTCTTTTCTCCACTTTCCAGCATCGTTCAATCAACTACCTTTTAACTCCTAATTCTAGACACATTATTTAACTAATCTGTGAATTTTATCCATCTCCCAACCCTTTATAGTCGTCTATACAAATGATAAACTCGTTTGATTAAAATTATTTCTTAGATAACTGAAAATTCACTTAAAGCGAGTTTATTGCCTGTAGAGACAACTATAAATGGTTGGGAGGTGGATAAACTATACATATTGGCTACAAAATGTGTCTAGAATTAGGAGGTGAGAGGTAATTGATTGACCAATGCTAGAAATTGGAGAAATTCTCCCCCAAAGAGCGCAAAAAATATTGCGCCGTAAATTGCAACTTTTTTGCACTACGGGATCTGTAGCGTTATGGTCAAAGACAAATATATAAAACCATAACGCTACAGATCTGCAGCTATAACCACTATTGAAATACGACCACTGTTGAAATAATTACATCAATAGTGGTTGAGAGTGCATTTCAATAGCAAACATAGTTAGTTACCACTATTGAAATACGACCACTATTGAAATAATTAGTTCAATAGTGGGTGAGAATGCATTTCATTGACAAACATATGTAATAACAACTATTGAAATACGACAGCTATTGAAATAATTGTATCAAAAAAGGTTGAGAGTGCATTTCAATATCAAACTTAGATATTAACCACCATTGGAATACAACCACTATTTAAATAATTACTTTAATTGTGTGTGTGCGTGCATTTCAATATGATAACCATATGTTTCAACTGCTAATGTAATACGAGCACTATTGAAAAAAAAAAAACAAGATGTGTTTGTGAAACACAATGCGCCCAGCGGAAACAAAGTTAAAAACATATTTTTAGCATAAAGGTCACAGTCAAGGTCACAAGGTCATTGATCTTGGTGTCATTTGAAAGAACTTAATTAGTGGAGTATGCATACCAAATATGAAGTCTCTATCTTTCATTGTTCAAAAGTTATGGTGAATGTTCAAAAAAGCTATTTTTAGCATATAGGACACAGTCAAGGTCACAAGGTCATTGATCTTGATGTCATTTGAAAGAGCTTAATTAGTGGAGTATGCATACCAAATATGAAGTCTCTATCTTTTATGGTTCAAAAGTTAAAGCGAAGGTTAAAGTTTGCAAAAAAAACTATTTTTAGCTTATAGGTCACAGTCAAGGTCACAAGGTCATTGACCTCGGTGTCATTTGAAAGAGCTTACTTAGTAGAGTATGCATACCAAATATGAAGTTTCAACCATTCATGGTTCAAAAGTTATAGCGAAGGTTAAAGTTTGCAGACAAACAGACTAACAGACAGAAAGAAAGACAGACAGACAGACAGGACAAAAACAATATACGCCTCGGATCTTTCGATCCGGGCGCATAATTAATGGTGGGGAAGAGTGCTTTTCAAAATGATAACCATAAGTTTCAACCACTATTATACTACGACCAGTATTGAAAGAAAAGTTTCATCGCCTAATTTTAATCTTTTTATCCAAAACTTCACAAAAAATGGATTTGGGGTGAAAAATATTTAGATTAATATTTAAAGTGTAAAAACAAATAAGGATGGTTTTATGAGGCAAAATTTTGAACATCACAGAAGGTTTACAATTTCTTCATATTCCAGAAATTTATTATTTTCAATGAAATCAGACCAGAACATATTTACCAATTCATTCATCTAATATATTTTGCTTGTATCATCTGTCCTTAAATGAAAATTTAATTAATTATTGATATTATAATTTCAAAAGTG